AAGTTTGCGGACGATACAACAGTGGTGGGTCTCATTAGCAACAATGATGAGACAAACTACAGAAATGAGGTGCAACAACTGGCCATATGGTGCACCAATAATAATCTCTCACTAAACATAGAGAAGACAAAGGAGATTGTTGGTGACTTTCGGAGAGCACACACCCAGCACCCTCCTCTGATCATCAACAGTGCTGCTGTGGAGAAGGTGAGCAGCACCAAGTTTCTGGGCGTGCACATAACAGAGGACCTCTCCTGGACCACCAACACTGCATCTCTGGCAAAGAAAGCACAACAATTATTATACTCTAATAGGGGATTCACAGTCGTGTATTGGGTCGCACTGTTACCTCACAGCACCAGGTTCTTGGGTTCTATCAAGTGCTTGGGTTATTTTCTTCTAAGAGTTCATGTGGGATTCCTTTGGTTTCTCCAGTTTTCTGTCCAAAAACATACAGGTAGGTGGAATGGCTATGCTAAATCTCATGGTATATTGTTTCTGAGCCCCCTAACACCACTTATATTGATAGCACATGTCAGAGGCTTTTAACAGGCCTGCTCCCACACACACACAGTTTAGCATAGCCAAATAACCCAAGCTCAAGATCGTACCCAGGACCCTGGAGCTGTGAGGAGCCAAAGCTACCCACTGCATTACTGGACCTCTCCTATTACAGCATAAAGCTAAAAGTAGTGTTTTTTTGTTTGTTTGTTTGTTTTTGTAAACAAATTATATCTTATTAATATCAGCATTACAACATAATATATAATAGACTTAATAGAGTTTACACAGAAAGTTGCGAAAAACAAAAACATTGCGTGAGAGACAGTTCTGTGGGTGGAAATGCCTTGTTGATCAGAGAGGTCAGAGGAAAATGACCAGATTGGTTTGAGGTTCCAGGAAGGTTATAGTAACTCAAATAATCACTCTTTACAACCATGGTGAGCAGAAAAGCATCTCAGCATGCACAAAACATCAAACACTGAGGTGGATGAGCTACAACAGCAGAAGACCACATCAGGTTCCACTCCTGTCAGCCAAGAACAAGAAACTGAGGCTACCATGAGCCAAGAGAAAAAGGCCAGGTGATTTTTTCTAGTCTTCAGCTATCCAGTTTCAGTGAGCCTGTGTTTTTTGCACCATTCTGTGTAAACTCTAGAGACTGTTGTGTGTGAAAATCCCAGGAGATCAGCAGTTTCTGAAATACTCAAACCAGCCCATCTGGCACCAACATCCATGCCACAGTTAAAGTCCCAGAGATCACACTTTTTCTTCATTCTGATGTTTGTGAAAGTGAAGCTTGACCTGTATCTGCATGATTTTGTTTTGCACACTGTGCTGCTGCCACATGATTGGCTGATTAGATAACTGCATGAATGTGCAGGTGTACAGGTGTTCCTATTAAAGTAGACGGTGAGTGTAAGAGGGTATGATCGCTGATTAGGGATTTGAAATGAATCAATTGAATCAAAATATTTGGAATCATTACTATCAAAATCAAATGAATCAAAGTGCTTGGAATGCTAGAAGTGAGACTTCGCAATGACTGTTTGAAGTCTGGGTTTAAGGGTGAGTGTGATTATGAACAGGTCTGTAATTAGAAATCTGTTGAACTTGACCATATGACGGAGTCAAGTGACTCTGAAAAAAACTGTTTTATAGTTTGTGATGCTGATGGGGAATGGGGTTAGAAACAAAGTCAGCTGTGATGTGACAGTGTAGCACAAAGACAGTTAATGAAACAGAGAGAAGGGCATAGGTAGAGACATGGAGTTGTGTGTGACAGTAAAAATATCAGTTGTGAAATTATAATGTATACGAAACTGTCCTACAAATACATTTGTGAGTGCAGACATGTCTGCAAACAATTAGACACTGATAGACATTTATAGCATTTGGCAGACACCCTTATCCAGAGCAACTTACATTTATCTCATTCATACAACTGAACAGTTGAGGGTTAAGGGCCTTGCTCAAGGGCCCAGCAGTGGCAGCTTAGCAGTGCTGGGGTGTGAACTCATGACCTTCCAGCATCTTAACCACTGAGCTACCACTACCCAAGACAGACACCAGAAACTCCTTTATTTATTTTTTTTGTTTTGTTTTTTTAGACCCCATTTTTCTGCTAATTTGGTCATTTACCATTTCCCACTCACCAGCTAGCTCTTCCCTATCACATGACTAGCCAATCCAGGGATTGCCTAATGTCACTCTGAATGATAGGGAAGAGAGTAATGCTACCACTCCTACCCAGAGAACACAACCAATTTTATTGTCTTGAACTCCCAGCCACAGACAGCTGTGGCATCTTCAGGATTCTAACCTTCAGTATGGAGTCAATGGGGCAAACTATTTTCTGTTGTGCCATTCAGGAGCCAAAACTTTACTTTTAAGAGGTCTCATTCAGGTTACTCTAGTCCATCTCAGAGCATCACATACATATACTCATTCGCAACTAGGGACAATTTAGAGTAACCCGTTTATCAAGATAGTCCTTGCTGCAGAACCAAATGTTCGGGGAGTAGAGCTGGACCTGATCTGACTCCTCCTATAAGCCTAATCCTAACTCCTAATTCTAACTTTAAGGCATGAGATGCTGTACAGCACAGAACAACAAACACATTTATCCAGCCTGAAACTCACTGAGTTGTCTCCTATGCCTGGACTTTTGGTTTGACTCTGCCCAGGTAAATTCAGGTGGATCAGATCTGACTCCACCCCTGAACTGTTGGTTCTGTAGGGAGGGGTACTGTACTTGCATTTACCTAGTGGCATGTTTTTGCAAGGGTAAAGGAAACTGGTATAGCCTACATGGAGGAAACCCACACAAATTGGGACATGCTGACTTGAATGGAAGTTAACACATTAGGTCAACATCTTTTACCAGTGTTTTTATTCACTTTAGGGTTCCATCTCCACAGTCCATCTGATCCTCTCATTGTCCAGCTGGGAGGCGCAGTGATGCTGCCCTGCTTTGTAGAACTTCCTCTACCAATGGAAGAACTGGAAGTGGAGTGGAAAAGAACCGACTCTAAAACTCTAGTGCACTTGTGGCAGGACGGAAAGAGTCGACCAGAGTCTCAGAACCAGCATTATCATGAAAGAGCTCATTTCTTCACTGAGGAGATCGCCCATGGAAACTTCTCTCTCTTCCTTACAAATGTGACCCGTGAAGATGCAGGAGTTTATAAGTGTGCTGCTTACACAAACCTGGACTCTGATGAAACTCTGATTGAAATAAAGGAGATTGGTAGGTCAATTTTATCACCCAGTGTCAATAATGTTCTGTAAATAATACTGGATTTAAAAAGGAACACTTGAGTTCAATTCTTTTTTATGTAAAAGAATTTGATTTTTTTTTTACAATTCTTATTTCAGAGCGCTTCATCGTGTCTGGAGGCCACATCATATCTGCTTATGTGGGTGAAGATGTCACTCTGAATTGCTCTGTAGACTCAAATATCCCACCAGAAAATATAGAAGAGGTGACATGGAAGAAAATGGATGAAGATATCTTAGTGCTGTTCTATCAAGAGAGTGAGGTCCTGACAGACTCGTCCCATGAGAGATACAGAGACAGAGTTGAGTTCTTCAGTGCTGAAGAAAGGAACAAAGGAAACTTCTCATTGAGACTGAAGAGTGTTCGAACTGAGGACAAAGGGCTGTATATATGTTTAGTATTCTCTGGGGCATTATCAGATAATACAACTGTGGAAGTGCTGCAGCTGGGTAAGTCAATGTTTTTTATGCACAAAACGTGTAAAAATGTAGCAGAGCTGAGTGCCTTAATAAGTCAGAAGTGGATTATCAGGGCTAAAATCATGTGGGGTGCACTGCTCATTGGGCGGGAGGGGCAAACTCTCTCTCCCCTGTCAATCACAGTGACACTAGTCAACCATAGGAATCTGTGAGGTCATGCTTTCCTTTAAGTATATTATTGTTGAGTGATATCAGTCCCTTCAAATGTACAATAATTTTAAATGTACAGTATCGTGACCGAGAAAGGGGCTGCAAAAAACAAAGTCTGTTTTTTTATTATATTTATGTCATTTATAGATTTTTGCCTGATGCAGGGAAAGTAATAAAAAAATATCTGTGATTGCTCCAAATTGACTTATTTTTTTCAGTTTAAATCAAGCAGCATATTCACCAAGAAGTAATATATATATACACTGCCCTCCAAAAGTTTGGAAACGCCTGAACAAAATAGGGTTTTTGGGCAATATCAGCATAAATCCTCTTTAGTTAGTGACCATTTTGCATTGATAATAAGGGACACTAGGCATCCGAGCAGTCAGTTTATTCAAACATTGACTTGATATATTACTCCAAGCCTCCTGGAGGATTGCCCAAAGATGATTCAC